GAGACAGATCGAGGGAATCCAGGTAACCAGGATTTTAAGTCCTACACTGAAACGGATGCTAACGTCTTGCAGCCATGTGACAAGAAAAGCTTCACAGCAGTTAAAATGCCACCAGGTATTTGTGTGGTTTTGAGCAGAATATTATCCTAACATTCTGCCGGGGGTTCTCCTGACTATACGAGCAAAGTATTCTCTTTCAGGTCAAGCCACTTTGACGTCTGAATCTGTCTCATTTCTTTACCCAACAGCGTTCAACTTAATGCAGATTTATTCGCAACTGGAACTTAACTCTACTGATCTCTTTAGCTGTATAGTATAATATAATAACGTTCATTACCTTCACTGCACTGACTGTTTTAATGTTGTTGCACAGTTGGTCAGTTTGATTGATAAAAAAGGCTAGTTTTAGCTTGCTTCATGTGCTAGAATCTGTTATGTCAAATTGTGGCAAAGTAACCGTTTATCTTCTGAAGATTTTTCGTAGAGTTGAAATATAGAGGAGTACTGGAGTGACTCGAAAGCACATTTGTGCTCTGTACACCTACAAGAAATCCTTGTCTATCCATCACAACATAAAGCGGAAATGGTGTATGAAACGTGACAGCAAAATACTTGTTCTTTTTTCTTTTTAATGCTAAAATATTACTTCTTTACAGAAGAGTCAATCCCACGAACACAAGTGGATAGGAGGAAAACGAGTCCATATTTTTCAAGTAAATACAGTAAAGAAGGTATAATATTCTTTAGGGAAATAAATCCTTTTTTTATGGGGGGAGGAATAGGATAGCCTAAGATCGAGTGATGTTATGGAAAATTTCTTCCAGTTTTAGGCTGGCCGTGTTTAGGTGGCATCAAAGAGCTCGGCTGACTGCACTAGTGCTGATCTTGTCCCATTTTAAACCTTGATGGTTTGTATCTTGCAAACAACCATTAAGGCTGGTATCAAATGCCTCAGCAGCTCTTTTGGCAGCTGTGAGGTGACGGGGTGAATGGGCTTTGGGGAATTTCTCTTCAGACCACTGAAGTGTTTCCCCTCTTGGGGGAAACCCTGTACCCTGTGGCTGCTGCTCTGCACTTACACAGGAGCCGGCCTCTCTCCTCAAAAAACACATGGGACGTGGAACACGGGGCACACGCAGGCAGCCTCGACTCTTACTGCAGTCCGTGCCAGGGGACGCATAGTCCCTTGCAGTTCTGTAAAATTCCTGTGTGAATTGCCATTGCTTCATCCACATATAGTGCTCCCACAAAGACGAATATGCTTCAAAAGGTCTTCATTTTTTAAAATTCTTTTCATTTAAATAGGTAAATCCATTCTTTATTGCCCAACACGTTTTCCTGTATTGCCTCTGTGTACAGCTCCCAGTCCACCTAGAAGGAAGGCCTTCAGAAAATGGACTCCTCCACGTTCTCCTTTTAATTTGGTCCAAGAAACGCTTTTCCATGATCCATGGAAACTTCTCATTGCAACCATATTTCTCAATAAAACTTCAGGTAAATAGAGTAATAGAATTTCATGTTGTATAAATGTTGGGGTGGTGTTATAGGGTCAGAACAGCTGCCATTTTTTAATAGCATTAATGAAAGAATAAATGTATATTAACTTGTGTCAGTGTAAAAAACAATCTTTAATTTGTAACTCGCCTCAGAAAAAGCTCACTTCAGAAAGCATACATAGATAATAAAAGAAGAGAATTACCTGCACAGTCTTCTGTTCATGATGCTTTCTTTCACTAGGTAAAATGGCAATTCCTGTGCTCTGGGAGTTCCTTAAGAAGTATCCTTCTCCTGAAATAACCAGGACTGCAGACTGGAAAGAAATGTCAGAGCTGCTCAAACCTCTCGGCCTCTACGAACTCAGAGCAAAAACTATCATCAAGTTCTCAGGTAGGTTTTCCTGAATATGTCTGTGGAATGGTCTAAATTATACTAGCAAGGCAAACAGCATTATTTTCAAATAGTGCTTTGTGACTTTTCCTTCTGTTTGGCAAATATTGGTGGTGGTTTATTTTATGCAGCTTTGGGATATGTTGGTCTTACACACGTAAAGCTGCTGATACCGTTGTCTTAACTGAGAATGAAATAACATACCTAATGAGTTCTGCAAGAGACGTTTGTCTGGGAGATGACTTTGAGTGGAAGGAGATACGAACACCTGCAAGACTGATTTAGTGTTTTGCAGCACTGTGATAAGGTGGCTCTGCTCTGTTTTGCATCAGGTGACCTCCAGGAGGCCCTTCCAGCCAGAATTTTTCTATGATTCTGATATCTTCTATACTTAGAATAAAAGCATTCCTCTGTGGGTTCTGAGGAGAGAGATTTAATTAGAACTTACCCTCAGTGATTTGGTTAAAAGGTGTTTAAGATGTACCGCATAGGGATTCATCGCCTACTTTCACTAGGAAATAGCTAGAATTTGTGTTTTTCATTTAAAATGTTCCAAAGTGGAGATGTGTTACAACAGCAGAGAATCAGGATTTTGTCCAGAGTTGCTTTCTGCGACCTGCCTGCCTGCAGGCAGTGAAGTCTGTGACTGTACGTTGCAGATGAGTACCTGAGCAAGCAGTGGAAGTACCCCATCGAGCTGCACGGGATCGGCAAGTACGGGAACGACTCCTACAGAATCTTCTGTGTCAACGAATGGAAGGAGGTGAGTGGCGCGGCCGTGCTGCCAGGAGCTGCGCGCTGCCGGGAGCGGGGCTCTGTCCTTTGGCGTCGTTGGGCTTGTACCTATGGACTCCTTTGGATTAAAAAAAAAAAAAGATAGCAATTTTTATATCTTCAGTAGGTGGAATTCCCAGAATATACCTTTTACAAGTCTGAACCTGTAAATGAAGACTTGTCACCTTGATTCCCCCTCTCTGTAATTTTCCACTTTTGCTGTGTTTTTTTTTTTCTTATTTTCTTGATGTGGGGGTGAGTCTCTTCCCTGCTTCTTTTAAGAACCGGGTTCGTGTTTCCTGCCAGCCAGATCCTGGCGTCCCTCTGTGACCGGTGTTGGCGGGGCCTTTGCCATGCTGGGATCCTCCCGCGGGGGGTGGCTGCGAGGGGCGGTCGAGGGGCCGTTTTGCGCTCTGGGGGAGGACCCCGCTCCCGATTCGCAAGGGGTGGGTGGTTTTGGGGCTGACGGAGCGCAGCGTTCCTTGGTTCACACAGGGGCAGGCCGGCCTGCTGCCGCACGGCGTTCCGCTGCTCCCTGCCAGGCGTGGAGAGGCCCCGAGCTGGGAGGGGAAGCGCATCAGAGCGGTGAGGCCTTGTAAGAGAAGGTATTTCAGTAAACGTCAAACACTTTCGCTGTGTTTTAGGTACAGCCGCAGGACCACAAGTTAAACGTGTACCACGCCTGGCTCTGGGAGAACCGGGAGAGACTGAGCATAGACTGAAAAAGCCGTGAACACACCTCGGCCCTCGCCCACTTGCTCTCTGTGCAGTCGGTGTCTTTAAAGTGTCGTTCTGATCATCACGTTCTTAAATATTTGTGTGGCGTACCCTGCTTGGGTCGTCGTTGTCACGACACGTTTAAAATCTCTGTATTCTTTTAATAAAGGTATCGCGTTTTTTGTGGCGCCTGCTCGCTCGGGCCAGCCCCGGAGCTCCTCGGGGCGGCTGGGCTAAGCCAGGCCGCCTTCACCTGCCCGCGGGTGCGGTGGGCCGAGGGCCGCTGTCCTTCCCGCCGCCCGTTCGGTTCCTGCGGGGCCACCGGTTCCTGCGGGGCCACCGGCCCGGCAGCGGCGGGCGGGGTCTCGGCGTTTCG